CTCTGTATACAGCCAGAGGCGTATTTAGGCACAGGCCCTATAGGCMCGGGCCTAGAGCGGCAACATTGGAGGRCGGCAAATTTCAACAATTTTTTTTTACAAAATTAGAAAAATTATTTTTCATTTGATGAAATCAAACTCAACTAATTTTTGTTCGCTCAAAATWAATCATATATCGATATATCTACATATATCTCAATGTATCTTTTTAATAAAATAAATTGTATATTTAAATACGTTTTAGAAATAATTGAAGGAAGGATGAAGGGGGAGGAAGGCGGCGAATTGGAAAGTGCCTATAGAGGCGGAAAAACCTTAAATACGCCACTGTATACAGCAAGTCTTGCCTGTAACCTAATTGAGCACACAAATACATACAATTTTGAAGTTTTTATTAACTTAATATCTAAATGAATTTCTAATATTTATCAATTTTTATCTTCAATAAAATATTGTTGTTTTGTCCTAAAAAGTTACATGTATTTATAATGAATAGATACCATAAAGAAAAAGTATGTATCATAAATAACTTTTCATGCAGTATTTTGCGCCAACGCTTTCATAATAATTATTTTCCTCTTTTCTCTGAAATAATTTTAATATCACAATTTACTATCAAATTTTGTGTACACAAAAAAGTTAATTGCTTAATCTCTTTAAATTTAAATAAAACGGTTTATAATGCTTTGTTTGTATGTCTCTGTCTCGCTGTCACCAAGTGTTTTACTTACACACAGTTATATAACATATATTTTTAATTATATACTTAGGCTATGATATGAAATAAATATAATTAAAATATTCATTTATTTATTAACAATAGGGTAATGTAAATATTATTWTTTTTYAAATACGTATRAGTCCRTCATTCATAAATTAAAACTATTTTTACTTACGTTTTTTTAAAATACAATCATAGGWACAAATTTAAATCTCAAAAWTTTTAAAATAATAATKAATAAAAAATTTGTCACAAATTTATATACAAARTAAATCAGCATTTGAAATTATGTAATTATAAATAATATTGTAAYTATAGTTACAATTAAAAATCTGAAGAAGTCGTTTCGCCTATTATAGTGAGAACACAATAAGGTTCCAGCTTGTCAATGATTTCGTCCATATAATGGTCGACTTCTGTAATTTTCTCTTTTTCCGTTATGACGTGTTTAATAAAATTTTGCCAGTTTTCACTGATAACACGTTCAATCGCTGTTTTTAAGAGGACCCTAAATGTCATCGATGTTGAATGTGGTATTGTTTTGTTTGATATTTGATATAGGTTTTCACCATTGCCCATGCCAATTCAATAGGGTTCAACTCACAATGGTAATCACAAGTAATACGACTTWGTGATGCGTTTTACAGTATAAATACCAATTACGAAAGTTATTGAGRARAAKTTTTTCTAGGGTCGTAAGAAGCCCGATTTTTGATACTGTGTTCCAATCTTCCAATATCACATGGTAAATGAACACGTTTTTTTTTTTTACTTTATATCGATTAATTATTTAACTAATTAATAAAAATATCGAAAATTGGCCTTCTTAYGATTSTTAAGAAAATTTTCCTCTATAATTTTTATATTAGGTATTTTTACTGTAAACCGCTTCAATAAGCCGTATTACTTGAATTACGAAATAATGTTTTTATGCCGTATTTTGGACACCACGATGGCCTCTTAATAAAAGCTTTAGTATGTGCACACTGCACACCACCCGCCGTGGTTTTATAGCCCATATAATATTATTTATAGTAAATAATTACAATTGTAAATTATAATTTATCTTAAAATATAAAATATGTCGAAAAAATAAATAGGATGTAATAACTAATAGGGTTCATAAAAGATAAATAAATAATGAGATAGATATTAGGTAAAAATAATTTATAATTTATTTTCATTTCTATATTTTATAAGCAACAATATTCATTAATAACATTATAATATATGACGTGAATTGCTTGGTGAGGTGCGATCGTACGCTCTATCTGCGGAACGTACCGGCCGCAGTTGCTAGCTCCCAATTGATTGCCCAGTGACCACTCGGGATTTTTAGCAACATATCCTTGCCAGTTGCCACGCGTACACAAACACGTGTTACAACCCTACCCACTTAAAAACCTACAAACAAATATACAAAAATAATCCTTACAGTACCACCCCACACCCAATGGCCTATGTTGCCGCGGGTTCCCCTTAAAAAAWTATATATATACATATATGATGTATGCTGCACCTATTTCTAGTGAGATGCAGTAGTATTCGAGTAAGTATAAACTATATAATACATAACACAACATTTAAAATAATTGACATTATTAACAATATAAATAATAAAAAAATTTTTTTTCGTCGATCAACAAAGTATAATAAATTAAATTATGATTGCCATCATTTGCTATGGACGATATTAATTCTGTGACCTAAAAACTTCAAATWAAAATTAAAATATCACAAATTTTTATACATTTAGGTAACGATGCCGATATAAGTAGGTAGGTACATTGGTGTTATTATATCATTATAAATTATAATTTATGGTGAATAATTATACCAATTTAATCAATATGGTAATATGACTAATATGGTACATATCACTGAAATCCGTCCTAAAGAGCATAMCACTAAAATCATTACCATTCGGCATTCTTGGTATTACGTATCTAATTAGGAAAATATTATCGAAAATACATTTTAGGGTTGTGGGCTCACTAATCCAGGAAACTATTAACTACCTAAATAAAATACTACTATTTTATTCGATTAGGTAACTATAAAAAATGTTAAACCTATACTTAATATTTATTAACTTCCAATATGAGAATTTTTCATACGAGAATCGCCTTTTTATGATGTTAAGCAAATTTTAAAATGTCATCTAAAACTTATAAAAGAACGATTTTTATTTTTTTGATATCTTAACTTTGTGTTCTAAGAATAATAAATTTAGAAAATATGGAATCATTAATGATTTGAAAATTAAAATAATTAATTCCAATCCATTAGCATTTCACAACTTRTAGGAAAATATCTACCTACATAATATAATATATATTATAGAAGTACTTATTTCTTATACCGATACCTATCTGCTGCAATGCCAATTTCACTTAACATTAAAATGTAAACTGTATAATGTAGTAATRTACCTACCTTATATCTATAACCTATTAATAATAGATAAAGCAAAAAAAGAAGCGAAACACGTCGAACATTATGAAGTTGTTCGGGATATCGTTCGTTTTAAAAAAATACTGCATAGTGCATGGAAATTCGAAGCACATTATAATATGTAGGTATACCGTTTTATCTACACGACTGCACTATTATAATATAAAATTAATCATTTACTTTGTACATTTACTGCAGCGGTGTTAATGGTGTTGATAACGGGTACGAAATCATCGTAAAGGATCGATGTCGATAGAAAATGAGATCCTTCTTAGATCACTGTCAATGGTCACGTTGGATCTGTCACTGGGCAAAACCAAGTCGGCGGATGTCAGAAATTGATTCACGCACCTGTCCGTAAAGTACGCACTGTGCATGCTCAGGTGGTTGATGGTCCGTCCGCGGAGCTTGTCCGACAGAGTATCTATCCACCGGTCGCCGGTTACCGTGCAGTCGCCCAGCACGACCGTCTCCAAGGTGCCCTGGTGCGYGTGCAACAGGTCTTCCAGGAACCGGACACCGATGGCGTTGTGGTCGGCCCGGAACCGCCGCAACTGCCCAAACCCGGTGTGCAGGAACTTGAGGTCGAAGCGTGAGGCCAGCGAGCATCTCACGTACATCACGTCCAGCACGTTGAAGTACACAGTGCCTAGTTCGGCGAGCGTGTACTGGTCCGCTTCCCGGATCCGGACACCATGCAACACCAACGTGGTCAGTCGGTCGACGTACGTGAACCCGTCAGTGGCGTAGACGGACAGATTGGATGAGATGACCAGCGCGGTGACGTACCCGCAGATCTCCGCGTACTGCGCGCACAAATAGAACGCGTTCGCGTAACTAATCTGCGTCACCGAAGTGACCGGTCCGCCTGCGCAGTGGCCGTCACCGCAACGCAGTATAAGTGCAGCGTACTCGTCAGACGGCCAGTGGAATATCAGCGACCGTTCATTTTCGTCCCGGAAGTAGAAGAACTCGACAGCCGTGTTCGCGTTCGCGTGGTGCATGCCTACCCGTTTTAGCGTGCAGGCGTCCGATGCGATTATCCGCGACCAGCGGTCGCACACGAGCGGCAACGTCGTCACGAACTCGGTGGCGGACAGGGTTCGAAATATGCACAGCAAAATCTCATCAGGCAGTGCGTTTATGGACACTCGAYAGTCGTCCGTCATTATGATATAATTCTTCTTTTCATTCGCCCTWGCCTTCCCAAATCAATCCTTWGCCATGTGTCTGCGATGATAATATGATAATATACATTAGGTATAGGTACTTAATATATTAATATATTGATATAATATACTTCTCAAAATGTATAATACCCTCCCCCTCTCCCCCATACATAATTGTATATTATAATATGGAACTTAACGGTTTTCGTTCATACAATATTGATTCTGAATTGAATTGTTTCACTTTAGATGATRAAATGGATGGTGAATTAATCGTGGAAATCAATACTTAGCATGCATGTCAATGTCAAACCCCTTCGTGTAAAAATCATCATAAATAAAAGTGATTCGCGACAAGCTGGTGCTGAGTGGGACTACGTGCGAAGGAGTACCTACTTAATTGTATGATGTTCGAAACAGAGGGGCTCATTGCTTATACACATTTGTTTGCATCTGGATATTTGGATCTCAAGTCACCGCACTGGTCAAACCCACAAAGTCGACAATAAACAAAAAACTTGCCATTTCGTACGTGTCTAAGACAGAGGCAGTTAGCGAGTGTGACGTCATCTTGACTAATTCAAAGAAGTATAAATAAAAACTTCTGGAAAAATGTCATAAATATTTCGGGTTTTTCTCTAATTTTGATTGAATTACTTTTCTAATTTGRATTTGATCAGGATAACATTTAAATTTTATCTTGGTTTTGAAACGTAAATCGTCAAAATAAGTGTACCTAATCATTATTCATTTTAATATAGTTTTAGTATAGTTATTAGAGATTTTATATTTTATGTGTGCATTTTGTTTTTTATATATACAATACATAATATAAGATAGATGGATGCTATATCGAAGTGGAAAATAAYACCTACTCGRCTACTCCAAGTATTTGGTCATTTRGGGACACAAATATCTGAAATATCAATAMAATTACTGAGRYAATGCTGTAAAATCAAGTTGAGCTTCATCAATATCAATATTTCGAAACAAGTTTTTCTAAAGTGTTATCAAGGTGAATAGATATTCCAGGTAATACAGTGTGATAATGTTTCCGGGTACCACTAAATACCTCAACTGAGTGACCTTGGATGTAATGGATTTTCGGGAGATGAAGAGAGTATTTAACTACACAATACCTACATATTTTGAGAAAATTTCAAATTTTTTATATTCCTTTTCTATGCGGGTGTGCGCAATACAACTTACTTAAAAAAAAAACTCGAAAAATAAAATTATTTTTGCAGTACCTATATTATACTGTCTTTCACCTCCCAAAAACTCCATTTCAATTCAATATCATATGGCTGAGATCGACCTAACTATCTGAAATACTTAGTGCCTAGTGGTACCTGTAATTGTGACCACTGTATACAGTGTATACTACAACTGACTAACTTACTTAGACTTATATGATAAAGGTGAACCATATTATTTTAACTTAGGCTTAGCTAATTATAAGTATTATCATTGATAATAAATACTATTAATACTAATATTATTCTGTGGTATTATAGTATTGTATTGGTATTCCATGTTATTATCACTATATGTCTATATAGGTRTATAAAATAATGACAACATCGTCACCTCGACACCCGTTTAACTCTAACGTGTTTCCCAAGACAGACATACGTCGAACTAAATTATTACCCAATCTTATTTTTACCTATTGGCTATTGRATTTAACTATTTTAATATTAACTATATAGGTATTTACACCTTCATAATATAACTATCAGATATTATATTATGGTTATCATGAGAAACCTATGTCTATTTAATGTGACTTGTAAGTTTATTATTTTTAAACTTTAAAGCGTATTATAATCTGATTCATTAAAACCTCAACATAACATTGTGTACTTTTTAAGTTTAAATTAGGAGGCATTAAAAGCATCATACTTACAATATTAATTATCTTGAATTCAGTCTCCATAAAATTATCATTTTTAATTTTTGGTTTTGGTTAATACTTTAATAGACAGTAAGAAATTAATAACACTATAATTTAACAAAATATAAATATTAKTCATAAATATATATTAATTATATAATAATGTTAATAAATGTTTCAATGTTAAGCTTTTTGCGTTTAAMATATTTAATTTACACAAGATATCAGTGTGAATAGTGTTATACACTTATTAGTGATTACTGACACCATTTTGTAATCTATCATATTATAATTAATTACCTATTGTGTTTGTGATGAGCARAAGCGTAACTTTACTGTAGTTCCTATACTAAATAGTAGTAATCACGAATTCACGTTTGTAATAACAATATTATGATAGTTGCCTCTTATCACTTCTGATAAGGCTGGTAATCCAATCTTGCATAATCTATTGCCTATGCATATCTTAAAAGGGGTTTTAGTAAAAATATTAAAGTTATCAATGATTGACGGTTTACCTCGATCAATACTTCAGTAGGCTGTAGGCCACCACAGAATAGATTAAATTTAATGGTCAGTAATTCACCATTGGGATCTTAATCTTTCAGTTTGTCCGCATTGAGTAAGTTGACGCTGGAAAGGGTAGGGTAACCGAATATACAATAAATGTAGGTATAAGACTACAAATATTAATATAATAAAATGTTTYACATCTTAACATCTTGATATGCATAACACACAATAAATACTCAAATACGTATTTTAGGGTCAATCGTCTACAAATAACACCAAGAAGTAGTTTTTGTGTTTATAAACTAAAAACATACGTATTCAATTCTAAGGACTTTTTTAAGATATAATCTCTTTATTCAATGCAATATATGCGACCATGATAAATTAATTAATTAATTGATAAATGAATTTATCRTGTATGCGACGATGTGATGCATAATTTTACCCCTTCTGCCTAAGTAACCAATTGCAATCATTTATACATAAAATAATGCTATTTTCTACTAATTACTAATTATTTTGTGTTATTTATATTATTATCTGTGACAATCATTTATAAACAAAAAAAAAAATTCTATTTCCGTCGTAAATATAAAAATCCATTTGTGAGTAACTCTAATTTTTAAAATCCTTTCTTAGTCATCCCCTACACTGTGGTACAAAGGTATCATAAAAAATTAAGTCTCAAGCTATCCTAATAGAATATTGCAATAATGTACCTACATATTATTTCTATTTAATAATTTTAGACAATAAGCAATATACAATTATATACGCCAGCAATATACGCCTATGATTGACAACATGCTATTGCTATAACCAAACTTAAAAAACTTATAAGCTTATGGGATATAATTCAAATAATTCACTTGTGTAGGACATAATAGGTATTCACATTTCACTATGCTCAGTAAATACCATTCATATTAATCCTTTTTGAAAGAATTTTTTTTTCATTATTTTGTAGAAGTAAATTCTGGCATTCTAAATTCCGATTGCACCTGTACAAATTTCATGTGATTTATTTCCAACACTACGTCTCGGAAAATATTTTGTTTTTCGTATAATTTAAAACGCCAATCTATTTAAACGTTACCTATAAACTTTTCTAAAAATTATAAAATAAATTAATAATTGAATCGCCTTACAGATAAAGTAGGTACTCGTAACATAGACGGTGATTAGGAGGTGCTTGGGTGCTTAGCTCCTTACAAATATTGAAAGCCCCCCCCAAAATAATTGACATTTTTCAAAGCTTCCACTTATTATTTCGTAAAAATGTATTAATACCCCCCACCCCACTATAATGCTATCAAATATCTACTTAAGACTCGTAYACCRTAAAATGATTATTTATTGTTATTGTTTTTATCTTATTTTATTCAAAAATGATAACAATGCAATAATAATATAATATTTATTATCAAGTAACTTGTGTAATTTACCGCGTAATTCACTCAAACTTCAAACACCATCTATAAGACCCTAAAATTTGATAAAACATATAATATAACTTATTAATTTTCTGCTTTAATTCTCTATTCTCTATGTCTATATCTCTCAGGCCTCAGYTTTTCTTTTGTAGTCATAYTCGCATTTGATTTTTCGAATCATTGAAAAAAAACCAAAGAAATAAAAGACTACCAAAAAAATCTAAAARATCAAAAAATCTATGAAAATAAAAAACAAAATTTTATAATTTGCTATATTACGTCATATTATTCCATTAGATATAAATKTAAGTCTCGCGCGAACAGCCAAACCGTGTGGTCACGCAATTATCGTTAATCCTCATGTTAAAAATAATCGCCTTAATTCCACCCGATTTTTTCGTGCTAACAACCACTCGTCTCAGTTTCTAATACTGTAGTAGGCCCCTGCGTCTAAGAGAGGCTTCAATCCTCATAGAAAGGAAAAAWAAAATAAAAGACAAAATACGCCGTAAGTACATACAAATACGTTGGTGTATGATACATATTTCTCTTATCTCTTCTCCAAGGCATCGCCGGCGCGGTGACCTTTGGACCGRCGATTACTCTGATCCACCGACAATTATCGCATTTTTATAATGAACAATCAAACTGCAAGCACCACKYATCGTAACAAAAATACACTAGTCAAAAACATGCCTAATCAAAATTCGTCGCAAGCTATTTCTAAACGAAAACAAAGAACAGGATCTATGGACRCTACAAATAGTTCACATGGAACTCGTATACAGAGTGGTTCAAATGACGTCTTCAATTCTTCCGATTCAACGGACGAAAACGATGATAAATTCATAACGCAAAAAAACAAAAATACGTCAAAGCACTCAAAGCGAAACCATTCATCGACCGACACTGCCAGCCCCGAACCTAAGAAAGTCAAACCATTATTTATAACGGTAAACAGATTTGCACCACTTTCAATCGATGACACCACTGAGATCGAAAACATCGAAAACAATCCCACTTCCCACKACAACTCAACCCCATCCGATGACCAAAATAATAAAAAAAAACTTCCGCCACCAATTTATGTCCGTGGTATCCTTGACTTTGTTGAAGTGCGCAATGAACTAATTAAACTAATTGGTACAGACGCATTTACTTGCAAATCATCTATAAACGATTTAAAAATCCAAACATCAGATTCTAAATATTACCGTGAAGTAATCCA